TCCTGAAGAGAACCTCGCAGGAATAAATAGGAATCATCCGCGAAAAACAAATGCGAAATCCTAGGAGCACATGGCGCCACTTTCACCCCTTCCAATTTCTTATCCGAGATCGCCTTCCGAAGAAGGGCCGCAAACCCCTCCGTGCATAGCACAAACAAGAGAGGTGACAACGGGTCTCCCTGTTTGAGTCCCCGAGAGGAATTGAAAAAATCTGAGGGTGTACCATTCATCAGTACCGAAAAAGAAGCGGACCTAAGACATTCATGTATCCATCCTCGCCAAACAGAGTTAAAACCCATTTTATCCAAAACTGCCAGAAGAAATGGCAATTCGACTCTATCATAGGCCTTTTCCATGTCAACCTTTAGAGCCATGTACCCCTTCTTCCCCTACTTCTTTATTTTTAGATAATGCATTAACTCATGTCCGAGAAGGATGTTGTCAATAATTTGCCGGTCCCTTATAAACGCATTCTGCCCCTCAGTCACAATCTGATGGAGCAGACCAGCCAGCCGTTCAGCCATGATCTTGGTTATTACTTTGTAAACAAATTGACATAGACTAATCGGTCACAACTGGCGGATCGTTTCCACAGAGTCCACTTTATGAATCAAAGTAAGCCAAGTATGGTTAAAACTCCACAGCATTCGACTAGTCGAAAAGAATGAACAAACTGCATCAATCACCGAGGTGCCCACAATATCCCAGAAAGCTTTGAAGAATTTGCCGGTAAAGCCATCAGAACCCGGAGCCTACTTCGAACCCATTGAAAAGACCGTTCTCCGAACCTCATCAGGCAAAACCACCGCGTCAACTGCGCATTCATTTGCGGGGTAACCGTTCAGGAAATCGGGAGACTTGCCACCCTATCAGACATATTAGGAACCTGGGACTCCGAAGTAAACAGATCTTGGTAAAAGGTGGTAGCAATCGTAGCCTTCCCACTTTACTCAGTAACCCATTCGCCCTCGTCATTCCGGACTTCTGCTGCCAGTATAACTCTTCTGCATCCCACTGACGAGTTAGCTCCGTCTCCAGGGACCTTATCACATCCCAATCTACCAGATGGATTGACTTGACTCAGTCAATCTCAGCCTGGAGAGTCCTTATATTACGCAAGGAGTTCGTAGTACCAGCTCTACTCCAATCATAGAGCAGGTGGCAGAGTTTCTTGAGGCGCTCCCAAAGTCGAAACATAGGGGTACCTTGTATCTCCTCCTGCCAGACATAATGGACCATGGCCCTAACCTCTGGGTTATCCGCCCAACGAGCATCAAATCGGAAAAGAGGCCGACTACTTCGAGTATAAGGTTTATCAGCGAGAAGGAGGGCACGATGACCTGATCCCTGGTCCGTGAAATGTTTGACCAAAGTCTCAGGATAAGCATCTATCCAGGATTGGGAACAAAGAGCCCTATCTAGATGTTCACGAATGCACGCCTCCCCCATACGCTTATTGGTCAATGTGAACTGATCCCCTTGGTAGCCTGGGTCATGGAGCCCAAACTCATGAACAAAATCCCGAAGGCTAATGGCTTGCGCCGCACTCCAAGCCCGACCCCCATCTTTTTCTCCCTCATGGAGAGTAGTGTTAAAATCACCTAAGACCACAAAGGGGAGATGAACCACCGCACAAACATCACGCAAATGCGCCAACTGGTTGGCTCGAACAGCAACATTACAACTAATGTAGACAAAAAACACCAAATAAGAAGAATTTCCTTCATTAATTTGCAAACAAATGTAGAAATTGGAATGACAAAACACCGAAGTGTCAACGCCGGGGGCCCAAGCTACTACTAACCCACCCGATGCATCGACTGCATCAACAAAAAAACAATGAGAACTATCAAAACCTAACCCCCGCATACGGCGGGACACAACACGCCGGCTCGATCGTGTTTAAGAAAAAAACACTACATCCGGTTTATTAGAATGAACAAGGCCTAAAGCAGTTTGGAAGGTGAGGGATGGCCCAATTCCCCTCACATTCCAGGCCAGAAGCCTCATTTATCGGCGGGGGGCCACTCGAGTTTGGCTTCCTCCACCTTTTCCAGAACATCCGCTGATTCCACAAATTGCTTCTTCGGGGTAGGAGGGTCGCCTAGGGGTGGGCATCCGGTTCGGTAAACCCGAACCAAACCGACCCAAAACCGATTACAACCGAACCGAAACCGAATTAAAGTTATTCGGTTCGGAAATCGGAAAGGAAATGTGCTTAGTTCGGAAAACAGACTCTTATCGACCGAACCAAGATTCTGATTACCGAACTGAAAAACCAAAAAATTACCCAACCCATGTATCTGACCTCACTGCTCAGCCCACCTCTCCAAGGGCCTTGGCCCAAATCTTTCCCCCCAGCCCACCGCTTTCCCTCACACTCTCTTCTCGGCTTTCATATTTCCTAACCCTAAGAAATAAAAGAAAGAGACAAGACAAGAGTCTCCATTGCATGTCGTCCAGCCGCTCGGCGCTCACCCACCTGCATCCCGGCGCTCGCCCACCTGCTTTCATCTCACCACGACCGGAGCAGAGCACAAGCCGAAATCTCCCTCGCGGTTGCGGTCGCTGGATTCAAAGGTCGAATCCGTAGCTTAATCGGACCGTCGAGGATGGCGGTGATGTTGTACTCCTACTGCTGAAGGTCGGAGAACAAGACCAACGGTTTTGAGTCTGAACCCAGAATAGATCTGCCCAACCTCGTTCTTCCTCTAAAAACCCCACCTTTTGGATCTCTACCTCTCCAGCTCTCTCTTTCCTCCCCTGGGTCCCTGCTTCTTCTCCTTCAGGCTACTACTGCTTCTCTCCTTTTCTTTTTATATCGATGGTCTTTCAAGAAAAGGCAAAGGAAGTAGCGAGAGATGGAAGAAAGTAGGTTTTGTTAAGGGAGAGGAGAAGCACATTGAGAAGAAAGAGAGATAAAGGATAAGAAATTTGTTTCTCGTTTTGGTATGATTTACAAATATTTGAGTGGCTTGAAATGAAAGAGGGCCCCTTCTTTCCATCTTTGAAAATGTACCTTGCATATTTCGGTTTGTGTCTGAAAACCGAACCTAACCGGAATATAATTCAGTTCGGTCAAACTGAACCGAATTATATTTCGGTTCGAATTCGGTTTGCACCTTAGACTGAATCGGAAACTCGGTATGTTGCATTTCGGTTCGGTTTGGACCGAACCGAACCGATGCCCACCCCTAGGGTCGCCCACGTCCCCCTCCACCTCCTCGAGCGGACGCTTACGATTCTCCATGACTGGGTCAATCAGATTAGACCCATACTCATCCAGGTTCAAGCTCTCCCCCTTCTGGGGGACATTCTCCACTCATTACCAACTTCTTCCACACTACTATAAGCAAAATAAAGAACCACAATGAAAACAGAACTAATGACAACTTTTGCGGTTTTGCCACACCACACGCTGAGAGGAGTCGCCGTCTCAGCGAGTCGGCCGTCAGGGCTAATTTTAATTTAGGTCTGTGCAGTGACGAACCTATCATTGTTGAAGAGAGCTATCGGCCACTGAAGAAGTATCGATTATAATTATTAAAACGGTGTCGGAAATCTCGTATTAAATTTTTTTACCAAAAAAATATGGCTTAATACCCTAGTTTGGCCCGAAGTTTGACCACAGTGACAATTTTGGCACGAATTTTTCAATAAGACAATTATGGCCAACTTTTCAAATTAATAGACAGATTTGGCCCGAAATTTTCTTTGACCGTTAATATTGACGGTCAAACACTTCTTCTGTTAGTGACTCAGCAAAAAATGCTGATGTGGTGTCATGTCATTATATAATAAAATTTTAATTTTTGTAATTCAATTGAAATAAAAAAAATTAACAAATAGAAAGAATCCCTCTTATCCCAAAATCCCCAAATTCAAACCCTAATCTAAATCAACATCATCGTCAAATGGTTGGTCAGGGAGGAGGAGATCAGAGGAGACCCGGGCGTTGATCTCTGGGTCCACCACGGCGGCACGGTGGAATGGCGGTTGTTTCTTCCTCGCCGTCGGGAGAGAAAGAAATATAATTTTTGCTTTATTATTGAATGTTAACAATCAGAGTTACCAAATAATTAAATTTTTAAAATCCTTTTTCGACAATTGGAGGAGTTGAAATCTTTGGATTATTTAAAATCTTTAGATTTAGACTCCAATTCTCCAAACGAGCCCTACGAGTAAACTAGAATTAATTGGTTTGGAGACTTCATTTTTGGTATTGTATTGTAAATTGTAATTAGGGCGATAGTGGACAAATAATCTTATTGTATTTTGAACAGTGTAAATTTTACATTTTGTTCAATGAAATACGAATCGTTCTCTCTCGACATGTCATCAAAGCACATATGTACTTCTCTGTTTAGATTCTTTCTCCTTTTCTTCTATTTCACTTTCCAAATTTAGAGTTCGCGTCATTACTTGAATCTCCCATGGCGAATCAATCGACGTTGCAATCACTGCTCCGATGATTCCTCTGTGGCTGCGTCATAATTATTGGTCTGAATTACTATTTCTAAGCACATTGATGCGCATTTTGGTTTGGATTGAAAATGTGCGAGAAACAAAGCTAAAACAAAGACTAGACACTAGAGTTGGGCATAGAAAGTGTCACATGCCCATGTTCTCAACATCATCAAACCGAACAACCATCATTTAACCGTCAAATATGAATACTGAAAATACCTCTCTCGTCTCTCCGGTTCCTAATTATTTGTGAAAGCTTAGCTCTTCCTCTATACCCCTTTTATTTTCCTCTTTCCTTTCTTTCTAATAATAGCCTCTACCATCATTCATCAATTTTAGGTAAAAGCGGGAAGTCGGCTTGATTGTGTTTTTGTTTTGTGAGGTATACTTTTTGCAATACGTACCCAGATAGATATCTTGCCCTCATTTTCATTCCTCCCCTCCCTAAACTGAGAACCATTTCAAAAATACAATCATGGGGTTCATCTCTCTTATCACATTTTGCTTTCCGATTGGATCAACCCGCCATTGCCAATTCCTCCAATCCCAAAAACCACATTCTTCATTTCCCACAACACGAACACACCATCATACCTCATTCCAATCTCTCCATCATTTCAAATGGGGTGATGAAAGTATGTTGATTTCGGATGTGTAAGTTGCGATCAATCTAAGAAATACTAATCATCATCAATGGAGAGCAGAAGCTTGGAAACAGATGGGAGGGAGAAGGTGGTGGCCGTGGCTGTTGACGGGAATAAGAGCAGCATCTATGCATTGAAATGGGCCATTACTCATATCGTCACCAGGCACGAGACCCTTCGCCTTCTCCATGTCAAAGATCGATACCTCTCAGGTACACGGCGTTCTATCGTCGATTTGTTCTCTGTTTCGTGCAGGCTGCTGTCTAAGAATTTCATGTTTGTGGGAACTTAACTAGCATTCTGTTCCTGTTTTGTTATATATGAACGTATGCAGATCAAGAGCAGAGCCCAGATGCTCAAATCTCTGAGATGATGCTTCCCCTCAGATGCTACTGCCAGCGCAAAGAAGTAAGTCCTTTTCATAACCCAGTAATTTTCTAGCATCATAGAATCTTTACCCTTTCGGTAATTCATTCTCAAGGGTGACATCGAATGCTTTCATGCATGCTGTTTCTTTACATGTACATTTTATCCACACAAAAAAACTGCAGGTTAATTGCGAGACTGTAGTATTGGAGGATAACGATGTAGCCAAAGCAATCGTAGAGTACATTGGGCATTTGGGTGTCAAGATTCTGATGCTAGGCACGCCCAGCAAAAGCGGTATTTCCAGGTAATAAATTGATAGAACAAGAAAGAATTTCCGTCGCGACTGCTTCTGCAGATTAGCTAAGCTCTCATGATCACATTTTGATCTGCAGACTGTTTAGGAGTACAGATATACCGAGCACGGTAATGAAATGGGCACCCGATTACTGCACCGTCTACGTTATAGCCAAAGGAAAGATCAGCTCTGTCCGGAATTCTTCTCGCTCCATTCCATCGCCACATCTTCCTCCGCTTTCTTCTTCTCCTAGTACTGCAATGTATCCCAGTTTAGCCCCTTCTGAAACCCCGTAAGTTTCATCTTGTATGTTACTTGTGCTGCAAGGATCTCGGTGGTTTGTGGTGTTTACATAAACATAGAACCAAAAAAAAATGTATAGGTCAATCAAGCGAGTGAATGGAAGATCATACGACAACCTGGACTACGACCGCCTCCTTGCTGGAATATCAGACGCTCGGTTAAGCGTTGATCAGAGCAACTCCCTCACGTTCTACGATACCGTCCAGGATTCTTCCAGGACGTCAAGGGCTGGCAGGGCTGACGTGCCCTGGGAAGCTTCTAGGACTTCATCCTACGTCGACTGCAGAGAAGACTTTGAACCCTCCATGACATCCGGCTTTCGATTGTCTAATGGGTCTACCTCCACCTCGGCTGATGAACGGTGCTCTTGGGACTCGGTTAGGCACAATGTCATGATAGAGAGAAGCAAACATGCACTTTTTTAACTCACCTAATTACTATAGTTAATGCATTGTAGATACATAAAGAGTATAAATGGCATGGTGTTGTCTGATTCCCACACAGGATCAGGTCGCCGACATTTTTACAAAAGGTCTTGGAGCAGATCAGTTCACTTACTTAGCTTCCAAGCTTGGCCTTCACAACATTCACGCCTAAGCTTGAGGGGGAGTATTACGCAGCAGAGAGCGTGCATGACCATGCACGTGTTTTGTATGTGTCTCAGTTGTTATCTTTATTAAGTCCAGGATTAATCTGTAATTATGTTTTAGTCTACAGCCTAATACTCGAACCCTAGTTGTCTCTTGTGAAGGGGAGAGTGGCTATATAAGGCATAGCTAGCACTGCGGCAGCAGCCAAGAAATTGTCATCATCATAATAAAAGAACTCGAGAGCTCCGCTCTCCGTGGACTAGTCTCGTTCAATACGAACGGGGAAACCACGTAAACATCGTGTCTTGTCTTCCGCTTATTGGTTTTTATCATGTTTCTCTTCCCAATTCTTCCCCTCTCCCCGTCTATTTTGACTGCTAGAAGTCTACTGATTTGTTCATGTCAAAACTCAAATGTTGTTGTAAGTATGATTTTCTTCCTTATGCTCTAGGTTAAGATCAATTCATCTAGGTTATGCCTCTGATGCTATCTCTAGCATTAATTATACTGTCCACAGTAATAGAGGGAAAAGAGGAAAAAATGGAAAAAAAGGAAGTTTTTTTATGAATAAAAAAAGGGGAAGTTGGGGAGGGTTTTCCCTACGCAAAATGACAAAAGGAGGAGGGGAATGAGGACTCGGTGGGAGGAAGAAAGCACACGGGTCCGGCTATCACTTTTTTTTGTTTGTTTAATAAATGTTTTATGAGTTTTATGATTGATTTTTTGGAAGTTATTGGCCAATGGCCATATTCTATAACCGCCATATTTCCAACGATCATATTTCCAACGGCCATATTTTTCAGTTTTATAAACATAACTTATTCTTCACTTTCATCCAACACTATTCAAACTCTCTTCCTACCTTCCAAACAAAAAATTCTCTTCTTCCCAAACTTTCTGTAATCGTAATCATGGCTTCTTCCGGCAACGAGCGCAATCCGTATTACACAACGCTTGAAGACCTTGTTTTGTGCCAAGCTTGGATGGAAGTTTCACAAGATCTTATCATCGGTCATTATCAATCTTCACCAGCTTTCTGGAAAAGAATTGGAGATCTATATTATGCAAATGGTTTTATGATCAATCGTACCAATGGCGCCTTGAAGACTCGATGACAATTTATCAACCATTCATGTTAGAAGTGGTGTGCAACATTGAGAAGTGCAAATGCTAATCCACCGAGCGGAACTAATCAAGTAGACGTGGTTAGTCAACTTCTAAAACATCTTTATTTGATTAATGGTATAATTTTAGTGTTCTACTTTTTAATCATGTGTTTTGTTTTTAATTAGTACTAAAAAAATTATGTCCAAATTAAAAAAATATTAAAATGTACATATTAATTAATTAATATTGTCTATATAAAATAATAAATAACTTATCAAAATTAAATTAGCATATCAACTCTCGTTTGATTTTGCAAAAAAATAAACCTTCCCCAATACCCTCGTTTCCCTCACACCTATTGTAGCCAAATCCTTCCTCCACCCTTTTTTTCACTTTTCCCAATCTTTTTTCCCTTCCACCAATGTGGTATGTGGATGGTCTCTCTCATCATGTAAGAATTTGTTGGTTTACTTTTTCTTTTCTTAGTTGATTCAAATTGTAAGATTGAGAATTGAGTTATAGTTTGGCATTTTGTTGGGAATTTTGAAGAGTGGATTATTGTGATGGTTATTATTGTGATGAAAGCAACTCTCATGTTATCCTTCATCACTTTTTGTATAAATAAGAATTTCTTTGCAAATAGTAAAATATGGAGTTGAATTAAGTGCCTAGATTTATATACATGTACAATGTTTGACATGTTTTCAATATGTTGTTTAATTTTCTAAACTTCACTGGTAAAATTCATTGAGTACTTTTATACATTAGTCCTAGCCAACTTATTAAACAAAATAGCCACTCCAAGCGTCATCAACACGAATGAAATTGAACTGGTCACATATAAGTCTCAAAGTTGAGTTCGATTATATACAAATTTCTAGTTATTCTAGTTAACGGTTCGTGCCATAATCTAGTATTGTAGTTAACTTGTTGAGTAACTTTTTGTCAAATTGTATACAAATTAGATTATAAAAGAGTACAAATTATTAAGAATGACAACGGATCGGGTAAGTGTGGGCAACATGACAAGACTGGGTACCCCTCCTTTTTGAAACAGGCACCCAGTTTCATTTGAAGAGAAACTCCATCCAATTTTGCAAATCCGTACGAGTTATCGGTACCCATTATCCATACGGAACATATAACGGGTACCCGCCAATAATCTATATAGTACATAAAATGACAAAAACATAATTGGTTCACCTCAAAATATCCATCATGTCGTTCATAGTTTGCAATAGGATTCAATAATAAACAAGTCTCACATCTAATTTTGATCCTTACCAAGTCCCTCACCCAGCACCACTCATTACCAACTTCTTCAACACTACCATAAGCAAAATAAAGAACCACGATGAAAACAGAACTAATGGCAACTTTTGCCACACCAGATGCTGAGAGGAGTCGCCATCTCACCGAGTCGGCCGTCGGGGCTAATTTTAATTTAGGTCTGTGCAGTGGCGGACCTAGCATTGTTGAAGAGAGCTATCGGCTACTGAAGAAGTATCGATTATAATTATTAAAACGGTGTTGGAAATCTCGTATTAAATTTTTTTATAAAAGAAAATATAGATTTCCACAAAATTTTCAACAAGTAGGTCTGCCACTGGGTCTGCGTGACTACATCTTGCTGAGTGACTGCGTCTTCGTCTCTTCGAGGGAGTCACGACTCACGGGGCATGCTGAGTGGGAGAGGGCATAGGAGAGGAGTTGGGCTGGGTGGTCGGGGATGGAGCGGGCTGGGGATGGAGCTGGGCTATGGGCGGGTAGTACGAGTACCCATTGTAGAACTTCTTGATCCCAAGTCTCATCCTTCAAAAAATTACGGGTATTTGGGTACTCGTAACCCTAAAAAAACGGGACGGGTATGGGTATACCCAAATACCTGCTTCCTGTTGCCCACCCCTAGGATTAGGTAAGGACGGATAGAGCATGTGTATTGACATTAAGTAAGTGACAAAGTAAAACGATAAACTATTATAACGAAGAAAATTAATTAACACAATACAATTTCATGAAAACATTATATATGTATAATAAATACAAATTATGTTGAAAAAAATAATGATACTTTTTAAACGAAATACATATGCATGTGTATAAATTATGTTCTAAAATATAGAGATATCAAACTCTTTTAACGAGAGAGATTATATATCTTGATTTGTAAGCTATTTTTTCTCCTACTTTTATGCTTACTTTTTTTATTTATCCCACAAAATGCCCTTCTCAATAAATTTTCAATATTTTTCATCACTCTGATTCTTTTGGTTAATGATAAACATGTTATTTGATAAAAAAAAATATAATTTTTGCTTTATTATTGAATGTTAACAATCAGAGTTACCAAATACTTAAATTTTTAAAATCCTTTTCCGACAATTGGAGGAGTTGAAATCTTTGGATTATTTAAAATCTTTAGATTTAGACTCCAATTCTCCAAACGAGCCCTATGAGTAAACTAGAATTAATTGGTTTGGAGACTTCATTTTTGGTATTGTATTGTAAATTGTAATTAGGGCAATAGTGGACAAGTAATCTTATTGTATTTTGAACAGTGTAAATTTTACATTTTGTTCAATGAAATACGAATCGTTCTCTCTCGACATGTCATCAAAGCACATATGTACTTCTCTGATTAAATTCTTTCTCATTTTCTTCTATTTCACTTTCCAAATTTAGAGTTCGCGTCATTACTTGAATCTCTCATGACGAATCAATCGACGTTGCAATCACTGCTTCCTGTTACGACGACTATTGGCTCCGATGATTTCTCTGTGGCTGCGTCATAATTATTGGTTCTAATTAGGGGTGTACATGGGTCGGATGGGTCGGGTTTTGACCACTTTAGTCACCCAACTCATATACTACGGTTTACAAATCATGAAACCCAAACCCACCCAAATAAAATTAGAATCTAACGGTTTGGGTCGGTTCGGATTGAACTGTTAACTGGCCAAAATCCAACCCAGTACAAACAAAAATTCCAAACAAATTTCCAACCCTTTTAAGTAAAGTAAAAAAAGTATTCTAATTAATTTGTATATTTTAAGTAAATAAAGAGTTGGGTACCCATAAAAAGAAAGGAAGAGTGAGAGGCTAATAAAATTATGCAGAGGATGGCTCTTAATTTCTAGTTATGCGTATGGGGCTTGGAAAATGGAAATAAAAAAAGAAAACATATTTGGGCCCAGAAGCCCACCCAATTCAATTCGCCTTCCTGTCTTTCATTTCCCTTGTGCGTTGGTTAGCTTGCTCAAGCCGAAGACATATATTTCTATACACTGGGTCGGTTTGGGTTGTTCGAGTTTTAGAACCCCAAACCCGGACCCAACCCAGACAACCAACGGGTCTTCATTCTAGCACCCTCATCCGCCCATTTAACTTGGTTTTGCTTGGGTTTCGGGTTGGTTCGGGCCGGATGACACGGGTGGGTCGGTTTACGGGTCACTATGTTCACCCCTAGTTCTAATTACCATTTCTAAGCGCATTAATGCGCATTTTGGTTTGGATTGCAAATGTGCGAGAAACAAAGCTAAAACAAAGACTACACACTAGAGTTGGGCATAGAAAGTGTCACATGCCCATATTCTCAACATCATCAAACCGAACAACCATCATTTAACCGTCAAATATGAATACTGAAAATACCTGTCTCGTCTCTCCTGTTCCTAATTATTTGTGAAAGCTTAGCTCTTCCTCTATACCCCTTTTATTTTCCTCTTTCCTTTCT